GCTACGGGCATGAACTAGCCCAACAGTACCAGAGTTATGAAACAAGTTTGAACCATAATATCCAACACAAAAAATTGGATTCACCCAAATTTTCGACTGTACAAGTCTTTGTTAAGGAAAATTTGGGTGAGTCTAATTTTTTGTGTTGGATATTACGGTTCAAACTTCTACCAACACAGGTGAACTTTCAAGATAATTAAGAACCAGAGTTATCAACCAAGAATTGAGGTGTTCAAAAACTCATTCTTTCTTTAGAATTATCGCAGACTGGAACTTGCTGTTACCAAGTACAGTAGGGGCATTATCATTCGATAGCTTTAAACAATGTTTAGACTCTGAGTTAGATGTTCAAGGGTTAGGTGTAACAAGTCGTTAGGTGGAATGTAGCCAGCTGTCGCCGCGGTGTGTTACGCCAAAGGGTGGTTATATCAGCCAACGGATTGTTGTGTTCTTTGACATGCATGATTGTACAGTATTTCAGATGAAGCTGCAAATTTCTATCTAATGGTATTTGATTTAATCAAAATTTTAACTTCATTGGGAACTTCTTTTTCGTGTTCATTGACTCCTGACAGACAGAACTTTTTGTCCATTCCATTTTGTCTCTGACTTGTTCCCTTCCCACTCTTGTGATAAGAGTGCAGAGGGACAAACAAGAACACTGGTACAGAGGGAGTGTTGATCAAATTTCTGCTGCTCAGTTTCCGCTACCTCTGGAGAAGAAAATACTTGCCAGGTAGACTGGAGAGGCATTTGAGAACCCCAAGTTGACTAGGCCTTGTACAGTGCAAGTTATGTTTTGAAACAGTTTGTTGCCTTTCAAGCATCTAACACCTTTGAAACAGTTGACCTAACAATGTCAGTTCTCCTTGTTTACAGTGTACAAAAGAGTTCTTCTATTGCTATTAGTTCCATTGACAGTTACATTCAAAGTGTTAACTAAAATTGCTGTTCTAATAATTGGTTGGCAGTGTCCTAATATGAGCTTGCTGCCAGGGTAAATTGCATTAAATGACGAACATTAAAAGCATGGATGGATGCATGGATGGTTTGATTGGCAGTTCATTATGACTTCAAGGTCATAATGTACAATGTAGTTCATTATGACTTTAAGGTCATAATGTACCACAAGGTCATAAAGTACCACAGTAAACATTGGACATGATGACCAAGTTATAAAACACCAGTTTTGCTGCAAATTTTTTTGTCGTTTTATGACAGGGTTCTGTCAAGGATTGAATTTCAAATCTTATCTATTAGTAAATTCTAATTTACTTCCAGAATTCTACATGTGATGCATGAAGATATTTAGAATTTTGCTGACTTGATGCATGTTTTTTCCCCCCAAGAATCTGGTCCTTTGGGTGTCCTGGAGACAAGAACATGGGACAAGACAGCTCAAGACTTCTACAAAAAGAGAAGAGCCCTGGCACTACAGTGTGGATAGAGACGTAGACACAAGTTAAAACTATCTTTTAAAGAAAATTCTCTTAGTAGTAGTAGTGGTAGTAAACTGTGAGCTTTGAACTACTCTACTTACCGCCTCATGTACCCCACAATATTAGAAAAAGACATTCACTTTGACAAAGCACAATTATAAAATGATAAAGCCATCTGAACACAGGAGAACTACACTGAATGCTAAGACCAGAGATGCAATAAAGAGCCCTGCCCTATCCTTCCTTGGAGTGTGACTCAGAAAGGAAAATAAATTTAAAGTAAAAAAAGAGAAAACGATATCAGTTAAACCAGTCAAGATGAATGCTACATGTACCTGTAAGTCTGGGGAGGTTGGAAAATGGGCGTCCATCCCTGCGAGAAGGGACACCTGTTAATGTCTAGGAAGCCCCTTGTTTAGCTGACAATTATCATTATGGTTTCAAAGATCTTTTCCACTAATTTTGGGTCACTTTCGATTGATGATGTTATACAATGCCGTAAGTTGTTCTACAAGTAAAAAAAACACAAAAGTATGATATATTATAGGATAGTGGAAAATTACAACTGCTAATTGACTTAACAGACTTTTCATTTAATCTTGTCGCAGCAAAATCTACCCTTCAATGAAAGTGGTTCTGATTGGTGATCCAGGTTGTTTTCATCTGCCTAAATGGAAAAGTGACCAATCACATTCAAAATCAGAGTAAAGGGTCATGGCACTTCTGAAAAATCTTATAGAGGAACCTTTTTTCATTGATACATGTAGTTTGCTTCATTATCTGCTACTGGCTTCCAAGTTGAAGACAGTACATATCAACCCCAGGTTCCTTTAATAACAAGCAGTAAAAAATCTTAAAAGAATCTAAAAGTCAAAACTTTATTAGAAAGATTTTCTCCAATGGTCTCCACATTTTGTGGTTCCCACCTTTGATTTAGAGTCAGAAGAATTTGGATTGTGTAAATTGTGAAGATCTACTAATATTTTGTACATGGTTATAATAAATGTATCTGTCCAGAGATGTATATTCTGAGTTTGAAAAGTGTTATCAACAAATGTATCAAGCCATGGCCAAGCGAATGATAACAAGATAAATGTATTTTAAGGTGAGTTGTACCAAGTCATGTATCGTCTGTGAACTGATGCATCTCTGTTAACGTCAACCTATTCCAGCTCTTTTCACTCCTCCCTTTCTTTTCCAGGCAGGAAAGTCTGGCATGATTAGCATTTGAATATTCCCTAAAATATAAGCGAGAGTTCTGATTGGCTCCGAGTCATGTGGTACTCTTTACTGCCATGGAAACAGGGTTCAAACAGACATTCTCACGTTTGATCCACTTAACAATGCTTTTAAGAAATATTTGATTCCTGAAATAGTGCAGGAACTAGAAACGTAACATTTGCAAAGCAAATTTGCCAAAATGTAATTTGCAAAGCAAATGTTTCCCTTCACTACTGCTTTGTTTATTCTTACTCAAACCCACTCATATCTAAGGTGACCATGCAGCCCCTCTTGAATTCAGTTCTGCATGGCACTTGCAACATGATGTAACCCAACACCAGTTACCATGGTGACAGACGTCTGGTCCTGGTCATTGTTTGGAGAAGAAGAGTAAGAAGAAGAAACAGAGCAAAAACAACATGTTTTCCTTCTGCAAAGGTTACAACATACTCAAGGACCAAATTTTTGATTGGCATAGGACCAGACTTCATGTACATGTACTCTGCTTGGGAGAAATCATTGGAGTGACTGGGGCTAGAAAAGGATGGATGCCAGTCTAGCATTTTGCAGTTGATACATGTACCATGTGATATTGTAACAAGCTTATGTGATTCTGTGAAAACTACTGTTTGTACAGTTACGAATATTGTTCTCAAAAAGTGCAACTAGTCTGTCGTAGGTACTGTCTTGTTTCCTTTAGTGTTGATGTTACATATTATGGAGATAAGGCCATGAAAAGTTACTCCACCAGAAAGAAACCTGCATTACGTAAAATTTTTTAATGATTATAAGCAGACCAAGTCTAACCCTTTGAAACTATTAAACCATAACAATTATAGGATTGTATAGACAAGTCTTTGTCACTACAGTTGTCATCCTTTTTATCTAAAGAAAGTGCCCTACTACACATGTACATGTACCTTACTTTTGACACAAATTCTGTAACATTGCCAAGCCAACAATGTAGTAAAATGATGAAGTGGTATCAGCTGCCTTTGAGTCATTTGATGATTTCACAAAAAGTGGAATATCCAATGACTGTCATATAATTAAAATGGTGGTATAATTTTTCACTGCCTGGTGAATATAGAAGATAATTTCTTGAAACACTTAAACATGCTGGTAGAGTCAAGGGGGACCAAGCTTATATTTGTTTTGTGATAGAAGCTGGTGTATCTAATATCTATTTGACTTGTATGGCCGCGTGTGTGTGTGTGTAAGTACATTATAATAGGTATTTTTCAGACTATATATCAGAGTTGTGATCGATGTGTGCCTTTTTGTACAAGGACACAAGCTTTGAAAGACATCTCTTCATGTCCGTAAATAGTTAATTAATAGGTTGGTAAATCAATTCAACATAGTTTTCTTTAACGAGAAAAACAAGGCTGCGTATCTAGTAAGAAAACTATGTTGAATCTCTGTATGTTCTCGAGGAATATGAGTGGAAAGGAAAAGAAAGCAGAGACCTGTGTAACCCTAACAGTACATGTTATGGTCATGTAAAGGCCTTCCTTAATTCTAGCCTTAAGATCTTATGATGGCTATCACAAAAGCCTGTCGGGTAACTACATGTAGATTTAGGAAACTGAGGAGCCTTAGAAACATTGTAGATTCTTAAAAGAATCTTAATAAGTTAAGCCCACAAGGGTCTTGATTCAAGTTTAAAAGAAATCTGAATCTACAAATTTCAAGTCAGATAGGTTTATGCCTATATGACTTGAAGAGTCAAGCAGAGAGGAAGAGGTTATGCTGATTTTAAAATGTCTGGCAGTACAAAAGCCATGAAAATACACGTATATTGAAAATTTTGACATACTGTGTTCCTTTATAGGGAATGAGAGTAAGTTCAGCATAAATGTCATTCCAGCTCCACATGTACAAGTAGGCCACATTATTGTTACCAAACATTTATTCTGAACACAACTCGGTGTAAAACATTTTTCTCATACGTGGGATGAAGATTTGTACCCTCTCATAAGCAGTGGAGGTACATTTGTACATTGTATGTCCAATTTGAGATGAATCTAACAACGTTTCAGAGCATTCTATAAAATATCTAGTTTAATCACATTAATCACACTTTAAAAAGTGAAATTCCTACAAAATTTGCAATTGAAGCCTCAACTATTGGGGTCTACTTCAAAATATGAGACACTGCAAAGTATGGTGTACTAGTATGTAGTTTTGAAGGGCACCGTTAAAAAAAGTACTGTATTATTGAGAGACCAAGATCAATTAGATAGCGGTCTTGCATGCTTGACTCTTACATGTGATTTTGAGTGAAATGAAATAATAAATGACTGAAAAACAACCCCTATGAATGAAACTTAAGTCATATGAATGGAACTGAACTTCAACAGCTACATTATATGTACCATGTAATATGAGGGGAGGGGGGCATTTTAGGTAAGATTGCCTTTTTAACTTTAAGCTAGAAAGTTTCAGTTGCAGACTTTGTTTTAAAAAAAGCTCTGCTGACGTTGTGCATGTAGAAGGACATAAAAGCAATCACGTCATAATCGTCTTGTCTGCTTTATGTTTGATGAGAAAATTGTGAAGAGTCTATAAGATGTGAACAAAAAAGATTATTTATAAACACTGTTGAATGTTGAGCTTTAAACTGGCTGCTCTGATACTGATTCTGAGAGGGTTTTGAGTAAAACAGTATTAGTGGGGGACAAGAAGGAAAAGATAATCAATTTAAATTCATGCTGGAATGGACAGAACAGATATTGGAACAGCCCAAAACACTGTGTCCTCACTGATTTATGTTACTACATAACTTCATAAGTAAGTACTAGTAGTTATTTCCTTGTCAATGCAACTTCTAAATGGTTTGAGTATGAATCTATTATCGGATGTCTACAACAAAGAAAGGTTTTTACTAAACGGAAAATATGTGTAATCTTTCTGCGTTTGTGATGACATGTACATTGTATCTCTGTGGTTTATCAGTAATGACTTCATTAAAGCTACTTAAAAGTGTTTAGTCTAGGTTGTGCCTGTATCAGTAAAACATATCACATGCATGCACAATATTTCACATTGTGGAAGAAGGAATTTATTACAATCACTTCAACATGATATTACTGGCAAGTTGTTTTTTTTTGTTAAAAAATCTAAGTTAAAAATCAGAAGTCAGTTGATATTGTTGTAAAATCAATTTTGTAGAAAAATGAATTCATTATCATTAAAAACCCTGTGACACATGGTCAATAGGTAAATTTGTGACATTGAAAAATTCAATCATTACATTCATTGGAAAATCAATTCCATTGGCTAAAAAAGTTTAAAATATCAAGATCTCTAAAATGAACTAAGATGTAAACAATCATTGCAACTTCAATGACAAACAACATTGAACACTACAGATATGCAACCAATTGTGACTGCACTGAATTTCAAGACTATGCTGCCTATAACCTTTCTACCTAATTTTATGTTAACAACTTTTACATTGAATCGTCTGAAATTTCTAAATTCTACAAGACCAGGTCCCCACTAACATCACAGACTTTGAAATGCAACAAGCATCAAAACTCAGCCCACTGTCCAGAAATGCTACTACCGTAACTTCAATGAGCCCAAAGGTGATCTGGAAACTCATACCTTTAGGAGATGCAATCACAGTGGACAGAACTGACACTGAGTGACAACTTAGGAAAGGCACATTGGAATAGGGAAAGGCCACAAAAAATAGATTTTCTTGGAAATTACTAAGTGGCTGAGAGGAATGTTAGGAAGACTAGCTCCTCTAGCATTTGGGAAGAGAACAGTGAAATATTTTCCCCATTATTTCCACTGCACCTCCTAGTCTCCACTCCTCACATGACTGCAGAAGAGTGGACCTTGCCAGCCTGCCAACGTAACAGAATAATCATAAGCGACTATACTAGTTATCAAACCAGCACTGCTGTGTAGGTCCTATTCATATCTTTTGTGAAAGATTTGTTGTACACACTTAACAAACGATTTGCTTGTTTAGAGATCTAAGGAACAAAAGATCTATGGAACAAAAGAGAAAGCAGGTGTAGCCGTGATGCATCGATGTATCGCTGATAAAAATATGTGCAGAAGATACATGTATGCACAAATTAGACTCAATGTAAACTTTGAACCATAGTAAGATTTCAACATGCTGATACATTTTGTACATGTAACACATTGCTAAGTCATAACAAGAGTCTGTAACATTGAAAGCTTATCTATATCAACTTCTAAAGGAACAAAAATGTTATGATACACCATGTATGATTGAAGGACATAAAACCTTACCTGGAAAGGGTGATTCAGTTTCATTGAGACAGCTGACACACCATTCACATACATCAGAATCAGCAAGTCTGATTATACATAAAAAAGGAGAAAAATCAACACATGTCAAAACTAATCTTTTACCATTAGACCACACTGACTTAATTACTGTAACGTTATATGGATGACATCCGAGTGCACATTAATTTTCGTCTGTTTCCAAAAAATGCCACCATATTATAAATCATTCAAAGAAGCTAGAGTGTTCATCATATGCCGTAAATTGAAACAAAGGTATACCAGAAAACGGATGCTATTGTAATAGAATGGACAGAAGTAGCTAGGAAAACGACTTAGCCTCCCAACATCTGCTTGGAGGTTAGAGAAACCAATAGAAGAAACTGGTCTTTGAGCAGAGGAGCACACTTATAGGTTAGTTCACAAGATGGTAGTGATGAGGAAACTTTGTTCTTGAAATTAGACATGAATCCAGTCATTCAACCAGGCGAATTATACAGGCGTGATGGCGAATCAACCTACGGTAGAATCAACCATAAATTCGTCATGTCTGCATAAGCGGTAGGACTTTTGTGTGGTTGGCATTAATTTCATATAGCTCCAGCCGCTCAAAACTCCTACCGGATGCAAAGTGAAAGAAGAGAGCTCCTAGTCTAGAGCCCCAACAAGCGTCCACGCAATTTACGATAGAAATGGAAAACAGCCTGCAAAGTTACGTTTATGGCTTACAAATAAGGGAGGTGAAGTGCATGGATCAAAAACGACCTCTAGCAGT